AGGATTGCCAGGAGTTCGAGGCCAGCCTGGGCTATATATGAATTCAGGGTCAGTTTGAACTATCTAGTAAGACTGTGACTCAAAATAAATGAATGAATGAATGAATGAATGAATGTTGGATGTCATGGATGAAAAAAAAAGATTTTAAAAGAAAAAACCGGGAAGGTCACTAAATGGATTTTGTTTTAATTTTCATGTTTTGGGGAAATATTCTAGACTTTAAAAAGCTCCATGAGGCTCATTTTAAGGAAATGGAGTCCATTGATGAATATATTAAGAGAAGAAAGAAACACCACTCATCTCATGAACTGAAGGTACGCAGACAAAATTGATGTTCTTAGTGGGACTAAACTGTTTGGTTTTAATTTTTAAGCCATGTAATTAATATACCCCGGTTAATACAGCCAGCTGTGTGCGCCTCTGTGCAGTGGAACATTTCGTTTGGGTCTAACATACCTTTATGTTGAAATTGCTTTCCCCTCCCAGAGGATTTTCAAAACTCTCCAGGTGAAATAAGGCGCTCTCACCATGAGAAGGCAGTTCCAAAGGGCCAACAAGTTCTCTTCCCTGATATTTTTCCCGCCATTCATCAAAGGTGGACTGAATGTGGCTGGAGCTGTTGTCCTTCCTGTCCCTCACCAAGAGGACAGTGAGGTGACTCACAGTGGCTCCCTAAGGGCGTCTGTGGTAGCAGCTCCCTAGGGCCTGCAGGCCAGGCCCTGCTGGACTCAGTGTTCTTTCCAGTAAGAGGAGGTGATACAGGCAGCCTGGAATTGAGCTGGAGTAGTGAGCTGATAGCATCCTAGGAAGTTTATGTTACTGGTATCTGGGGTTGACAGGGTACCAAATAGAGGCCTGAGAAACATTTAATTTGGAATTTAATAATATATGAAAACCTAATGCTGGGCGTGGTGGCGCACACCTGTAATCCTAGCACTTGGGAGGCTGAGGCAGGAGGATTGTTGTGAGTTTGAGATCATCTTTTTTCTTTTTTTTTTTTTCGGCCAGGCAGGTGCTATGCCTCTGAGCTATCTCCTCAATCCTTTGGGTTTTTTTGTCTTTTTGAGACAGGCTCTCACTATGCAGTTCAGGCTGGCCTTGAGCTCACTTTGTAGACGAGGCTGGTCTCAAATTTGCAATGATCCTCCTGCCTCAGCCTCCCGAGTGCTCGTATTACAGGTGTGCGCAACTACGCCCGGTGATCTCACCAGTTTGAGGCCAGCTGGTCTACATAGTGAATTCAAGGCCAGCCTGAGATACACAATCGGACCTTGTCTCCGAAAGCGGGGAGGGCGGTCAGAGGACTGGGGATATAACTCAGTGATAGAGTTGTTAATTTTAAAGTACAGTATATAAGCTTTTTGGTGAGAAGCCTAATTAAAGAACAAATGTTCATTCAATTCAACAGTTGTTTTTTTTTTTTTTTGCTGTACTGGGGATCAAACTCAGGACCTTGCGCTTGCCAGGCCGGCGCTTATGCCACTGAGCTATATCCCCAGCTCCCAGTTCAACAGTATTTATAAATCAGTCTTACTTAAAGATACCGTCAGCTTGCAAATAGCAACAAAGCCATGTTGTTAAACATCTCCGTGCCTTCATCACTAATCTAACAATGTGGATGGAGAATCCAGAATATCAGTACGTCCATAACTAGGCTGACTGACGTGCGAAGAAGTGGCGCAGGAGGTTCAGAGGCCAGCGCAGGACAGACGAGCTACAGCTGCATTTCTACCCGGGCGTGAGCTAGCTGTAAAGACGCCTGGAAGCAGGGCCCCTCCTGTCCCTAGCGCCTTCCCTTACCAGGAAGCTAGATCTAGTAAGTCTTTGATGGATCCTCAAGGGTTCCTTATTATGGAACGGGGAGAAGTTAAATTTCCAGGTAAAGTTAATTAAGATCATAAAAACTGCTTAAATTGTACAAGTTTTTTCTCAGTACATGTTTGCTATACGTACCTGAAGTGCCTACTTTCACTGTGGGTATCTGGCACATGGACGAGACACATCTTAATTCTTTCTCACACCTCCTTCCCCCTCCCTTTCCCCTTCCTCCACCTCTTGGTCCCCTTCCCATGTGCTGTAGATCTATCTCCCTGTTTCTTTTTATACATTTTTCATTCTGCTCTTAATTTTACTTTGGATTTCTCATATGAGAGAAACCATATGGTATTTAAACTTGTGTGTCTGATTTATTTCACTTAACATGTTTTCAAAGTGCATCCATTTTCCTACAGATGACTGATTTATCCTTTACAGCAGAGTAGTACTCCATTATGTAAAATACCATATTTCCTTTATCCATTTTGCCATTGGTGGACAGAGGCAGCTTCTAAGATTAGCTGTTATGAATTGTGCTACTATAAACATGGGTAGGCATATGTCACTGTAATGTGATGTTTTTAACTCTTTCAGGAAACCTCGTAGGAGCATAGTTCTGTCAAATGGAGTTTCTATTTTTAGTTTTTTGAGGACTCTCCATACTGATTTCCATAGTGGTTGTACCAGTTCATGTTACCACCAACAATGTAGAAGGGTTCCTTTTTGCCCCGAAGCCTTGCCTGCATTTGTTATTATTGGATATCTTGATGATGGCCATTCTTTCTGGGGTAAGGTGGAATCTCAGTGTAGTTTTAATTTGTACTTCTGAAATGGCCAGTGATGCTGAACGCTTTTTCATGTATTTATGGGGCATTTTGTATTTCTTCTTCTGAGACGTGTCTATTCATTTCAATTGTCCATTTTTTGATTGGGTCTTTCACTGGAGGATCTAATTTTTTTGAGTTCTTATATATTCTAGATATTAGTCCTCTAAGGTGTAACTGGCAAATTTTTTTTTCCATTCTTGTCTCTTCACTCTGGTGGTTATTTCCTTTACTGGGCAGAAGCTTTTTAATTTGACGTGGTCCCATTTATTGATTCTTGATTTTACTTCTGTGCAGCTGGTTTTTTGTTTAGAAACTCCTTGCCTGTGCCTATGACTTAAAAGTGTTTTACCTACTTTATCTTTCAGTAGGTTGTTTCTGTGTTAATATGTAGATTTTCAGCCCATTTATGTTTTAGTTTAGTACATAGTAAGAGATATAGGTCTGGCTTCAATCTTCTGCATGTGGATAGCCAGTTCTCCCAGCAGCATTTGCTAAAGAGGCCATCTTTCTTCTAGCGTGTTTTTAGTCTATTTGTCAAAGATCACATGGTTGGGAAATTTTTGTTTTATTTTAGCTAAAATCTATTCTTTTTGAGTTTTCTGGCATGCTTAGAAAGGTCTAGTCTTTGCTCTTGTATTTATTTCTACTGCTCTTATCAATTTCTTGTGTTTATTCCTTCCGCCACATTTTTATTTGTGTGTAAGTCAGTGCAACGGTCCTGTCTCCACTGTCAGGCAAGGAAGTTACTTTTCTTCTTGCCATACTTGATAGCTAATGACAGTAATACTTTATTTTTAGTTTTTGAGGTAGGGTCTTGCTCTGCAGTCCAGGCTGGCCTTGAACTATATAGCCCAGGCTGGCTCAAAAGCATGGTTATCCTCCTGGCTCAGCCTCCCACATGCTGAGATTACAGGTGTGCACCACCACACCGGCCCCTCATTTATTCTTTTGCCTTGACAATATCTAAAAATGACAACCTAAATGGAACCCTTCACAGGTGTGTCAAAATGAGCATTTCCTTCCGTCCCTTGTTTTTTTTGTGGGGGGGTATTTTGAAGAACTTTAAAATGCTGTTGCAAGGGAGTACGTGGGACAAAGGAGAAAGTAAGAATCATTTGTAGCTTCTATGTGCTAAGTCTATAGTAGGTTCTTCTTTAAGCTTATCTTTAAAAAACTGTAACACACTCTCAGTGATCCCTAGAGCTACAAGGGACTGTTTGGCCACATTCTTCCTAGTTAGAAAATACCTGGGTATGGGGCTGGGGATTTAGCTCAGCAGCACAGCGCCTGCCTGGCAAGCGCGAGGTCATGAGTTCGATTCCCGGTACTGGAAACCGCCGCCCCCCACAAAAAAAAAAAAGAAAAAAAGGAAGAAAATAGCTGGGTATGCGGCAGCCTGGAAAGGCTCTGTGGTCACACGGTACTCAGCGCACAGCGGTGGGTAACTGAGCAATGGCCAGACAGGCAGCCCAGGAGAGACTACGGGAGGAAGGGATGCACTTCCAGTTCGGAGTGGGCAGGAAATGAGGATGGCAGCTTCTTGTGCACTTTTCAAGGACAGGGTACCAGGTAAGAGGCTACACTCCTTCTTTCCCTCAGAAGCAGCCCAGCAGGGAGCGAGGGGTAATGACACCTGTGCCTCCAGGAAGCCTCTCCGTGGCTTGCACTCCCGCCAGCCAGCGGCGCTCGCAAGGCCAGGCCCAAGGCCCTGCCAGGAGGAGCGCTATGAGTCTGAAAGGGTCCGTGAAGCACGCTGGTCTCTCAGCGACGAAAATGAACGTCAGGTAAGGAGATCACTTCTAAAATGTAGCCAGGGCATGATTTCAGGTAGACTTGATGTAAATAAAAGGGAAAACAAAAGGATCAGCAACAGAAAGATCAGCAGACAGTTTTAAGTTCTCATCTTTACATCTGGGTTCAGTTTTCTTGTTTCATCCAACTTCCTTAAGCACACATTTGATAACTAAGGATAAAAAATAAGATATACTTGGTTAATCTTTATGTTACTAATTTTTTTTCCTTTGAAGTTTGGAATTCTATTTACTGAATGAGCATGGAATATGAGCTACGTATAATTTGTGGTTCTAATTTCAGTTAATGCTACTTAAGAGTACCATGGTCAAAGATCTAGACTTCTCTTCACAGCCATGTACAGAGCAGCCTGGACCTCATAGCACCTCCCCTAACACACGCGATTGTCTCAGTACTGTGGAGGAGCTTGGGTAACGGACTGGGAATATGGACTCAGGATCACCGTCAACAATTAGTTATATGGCCGGGTGTGGTGGCGCACCCCTGTAATCCCAGCACTCGGGAGGCTGAGGCAGGAGGATCGTGGTGAGTTCGAGACCAGCCTGGGTTACAAAGTGAGCTCAAGGCCAGCCTGAACTGCATAACGAGACCCTGTCTCAAAAAGACAAAAAACAAACAAACAAAAAAATTAGTTATATGTCCAGAAGTTCCACTCTGTTGACCCCATCCATGATAAACTTGTGCATTTGTACTTACATATGTCATTACTAGATTTCATTGAATCTATCCATTGATTGAAGAGTCACTATTTATTAACCATGAAGAGAAGTCCTGGTGACTGTTGACAGATGTATTACCAATGATAAAACACTTGCCAATTTTATTATTTCTTTTATCTTTTAAAACCAAAGCATTTATTTTGAGTAATCACTGAAATTCTCAAGATGAACTGGACACTGCAACAGCTGCTCTCTTGGGTTTAGGTGTTGTTCATTCATGGAATCCAGGCCCGAATCTGCGACGTACAATGCTTAGGTGCCTCATTCGACCAGTTTTGGTGTTATTTCGCCTTTTAGCCTTTGCACTCCAGTTACACTTTCTTTTGCGCTTGGCAGGGTAGCCACATTTGCCACAGGTCGACTTCTGAAGGTGGTAGGCCTTACAGCCACAGCGGCGGCACGCCGTGTGTGTCTTATTACAACACTTTCCAAAGGATGACATTCCCTTCGTCATCTCGCTAGTGCTGCCAGGACCAAACAGTACTTGCCAGTTTTAGAGATGTTAAAATGTAGAAAACAACCTGCATCAGAGAATCCCTGAAATACATTCATGGCAATTTGCCATGGAAAGAGACTGGGCTAATTTACAGATTGCTTGAAAGAACAACATTCTGGTATTCCGGGATGATGTAATCACCACTGTCCTGGCAGAGCAATCTTCTGTCCCTCACACCTGGCGTCATAATGTCTGTGTTGGGGCGTAGCTGTATCCCTCACACTGCCTTACAGGTCAGTGGCCACTGGAGACATCAGAAGATTCTAAATATAAATGTGAGCATGTGTGTGTATGTATATATAAAACCTTTTTTCCCCCTAAGTGTATATTTCACAAGTAATGAACAGTAAACGTTAACATTATGATTTGTTTTTGCATCAGCCTCTTAAAAACATGTTTTTCTACCTGGAGATGCTGAAGTGCTTTCATTTGTAAACTTCACACCAGAACTCACATCTTGCACTCCACTATCCTGTTTAGGTTTTCAGCTGCTACTAAAGATAATGAGCATAAGCGTTCGCTGACCAAGACTCCAGCCAGAAAGTCTCCACATGTGACCATGTGTGGGAACACGGCAAAAGGCCAGGCTGTGTTTGGGACACCCATGCTAAAGACCAACAAGGGGAATTCTGCTGCTGCTGGTAAAAAGCTTCATCTTAAAGCCATGTAACTTCCTGAAATTGTCTTTCCTTGAAGCCTCTCCGTATCTATAAAATCAAAACCAAAATTTTATAGCCAGCGGTGGTGTATGCTTGTAATCCCGGCTACTTGGGAGGCTGAGATGAACAGTCACAATTTTGAGGCCAGTCTTTACCAATAAAAGTAAGATTTTTTTTTCTTCTTTGCGTTACTGGGGATCGAACTCACGACCTTGCGCTTCCCAGGCAGGCGCTTATGCCACTGAGCTATATCCCCAGCCCAAAAGTAAGATATTTTAAAAAATAAAATATTTTTTAAAATTTTAAAGGTTTGGGAATGTAGTTCGGTGAAAAGGCCCCAAATTTAATCCCCAGTAAGATGAAAAAAAAAAATCTTATTAAATTACACCATCCCGATGTAATTTTTAAATTTATGGTACAAAAATTCACTTTTTTTCTTGATACTGGGGATTGAACCCAGGACATTTTTAAAAAAATTATTATTAACTTTACTGGTACAATTTTTTTTTTTTTTAAACTGGTGCAATTTAGATATACACAGTAATCACATTCATCAGGACCTTGTCACTGAGCTACATCCCCTTTTTTTTTTTTTTTTTTTTTTGAGATAGGATCTCACCAAGTTGCCCAGGGTGGTCGCAAACTTGTGATCCTCCTGACTCAGCTTCCCAATTGCTGGGATTACAGGTGTGTATCACAGTATCCTATAAAAACTTATATCCTAAAAAACAAAACAAAACAAAAACTTACATCCTTAAATCATAATAGCCTTTATTAGTAACAGGTAGAGCTAAGACTATTTTCATCCATATGCATTAGATCAGTTTGAATGAATAGTAATAGGATGATTTACACAATTTTAAAGAAAAAGGATCTACTGTCAGGGAAATAGACTGAAGAATAACCTAGCTGCCTGTTTGAAGAGGCACTGACCCTGCACAATGTCATAGCATTCAGATGATTTGAGAGCTGCTGCAGGAAACAGCTACTGGTTAGCTTTCCAGGTTCTTTTCTCCCCCACTTTTCTACCCCTCTGTAATCCTACATCTGCTTTAGACTGTTCATGTAGATGGTCTTAGCCTGATCAGGCTATGGAAACACTAGTGAAGATGGAGTGGCTCCTAAACAACGGAAGTTTCCTTCTCAGATTCAGAGTCTAGATCAGGGTGCTGGTGTGGTCTGGTCTGGAGAAAGCCTCTTCTAGCTTCTGACTTGTATCTTCAAGTAGCAGAAAGCCCTAGGAGCACTGTGAGAGCCTTTAGAAAGTACTAATGTCCTTCACAACCCACTTAGCTCCCAGCGGCCTGCCCTTGATACCAGTCACACTGGGGGTGGGTTGGGTAGTCCATACTTTAAGATTGAGAAGTGATACTCTGATTGAAAACTGTGATAGCAGGTCCTTTTTTCCTGTTTAAACCCTTTGGTGTTTTGAGGTTTTCCATTTGTTTTTAGTTATTACCCCATTCAAGCTGACAACCGTGGGGACGCAGACTCCTGTCTCCAGTAAGAAGCCTGTATTTGATCTCAAAGCAAGTTTGTCTCGTCCGCTCAACTATGAGCCACATAAAGGTATGGGGGGTGCTCTGGGGTATGGGGCCCAGAAGAGACTTCAAATTGAATGTCTGAAGATGTGAAGAAATTCCAGTGACTCAATGGAAGCCCCACCTGACTCCCCAGAGCTGTGTCCTCTGCCCCTACTTCCACGTGGCACCACAGTTCTAAAAACTGTCCTTTGGACAAATACTAAGTAATTGGCTCATGTAAGCGTCTGTTAACTGAAAATATAATTTCTAAAGAATGTTACTACAAAAAAAGTAACAAAACTTCAGCCCAAATCAAGCAACTGAAGTTAGCCTCTTGCGGTCCCACCTTGCAGCTCGTGTGAATAATGGGACGTGGGCGCAGGCCTGCAAGTACCTGTTTGAGTCTGTGCTTTGTTGTTTGCTTCATCTCATATGTTTATTTGTAATGAAAACACTTTACATCTACTCGCGGGAATTTTAAGTCTTCGCATTGTGTGCTAGACCTCTTTAACACGATCCTCCTGACCCACGGGAACCGTGTCCTTTCACCAGCGCCTCCTCAGCCCTGACCCTCGCCTCTGGTAACCACTGTGCCTCTCTGTGCAACTGTTTCTGAGAGAACGTGCAGTATTTGTCTTTTTATGACTGGCCATTTTCATTAGCATGATGTTCTCCGATACCATCCATGCTGTTAAAATTAAAGCCAAAAAGTATTTCATTGTCTGTATGTGCCACATTTTCTTGTCTACCCATTCACCTGCCAGGATAATTCCATAACTTGCTAGTACTGTAAACGTGCTGTATGGAGTATGGACGCAATGGTGCACGCCTATGTTCTCAGCACCCTGGGAAGCTGAGACAGGAGGATGCAAAGTTAAGCCCAGCTGGGCAACTTAGTGATTTAGCAAGACAGTTTTGAAATAAAAAATAAAAAGTGCTTGACATGTAGCTCAGTAGAAAGGCCCTGGTTCCATCCCCAGTATTAAAATTAAAATAAAAATCTTTTAGGTAAATGCCCAGAAATGAGAATTGCTACCTGTGTTCCCAGTTTTAATTCCAGTGAAATCCATTCCAAATGTAAACAGGTTCGTCACAAACTGCATAGCTAAAATGCTACCATGGGGCTGGGGATTTAGCTCAGCGGCACAGCGCCTGCCTGGCAAGCGCGGGGTCGTGAGTTCGATCCCCGGTACTGGAAAAAAAACAAAAACAAAATAAAATAAAATGCTACCTTAAAATGTAATACTTAGGCAGTCTTGGGATAAAGTAGTTAGCTGTAGTAAGGTGGTTTTTTTTGTACTGGAAGTCAAACTCAGGACCAGGCAGGCACTATGCCACTGAGCTATGTCTCTAGCCCCTATAGTGGCTTCCTTCAGTGTCCTGTGTAATTGGATTTAGTACTGAAGTTTTTAAAATATTCACATTTTGTTTTAGGGCTAGGGATATAGCTCAGTGATAGAATATGTTCAGTTCCCAGAGTGAGGCTGAGTGAGACCCTGCACTTGGTCCCCAGAACCAGAAAAAAAGCCAGGCATGATGGTGCACACCTGTAATCCCAGCACGTGGGAGGCTAAGGCAGGAGGCTTGCCACAAGTTCAAGGCTGGGCTGAACTACATGGTGAGACCCTGTCTCCAAAAAAATACAACAAGGAAAAACCTTTTTTTTTCTTTCTGAGACTAAGGATTTTAAAATGACACTTTTTTTTTTTTTTTTTTGGTCTCTTTGAGACAGGGTCTCACTATGTAGTGCAGCCTGGCCTTGAGCTCCCTTTGTAGCCGAGGCTGTTCTCAAACTCGCAGTAGTCCTGCCTCAGCCTCCCGAGTGCTGGGGTTACAGGCATGCACCACCACACCCAGCCTCCTATTTTTATCTTTAGAGGGAAAATCTGGTGTATATCTGTGGAAGGCAGTAACAGTGAATTTACTTTTCCAGACCCCCAAAAATTAGGCTTCAGCAGCAGCGAAAGCAAGGTTTTAATTCATACTCTTATAAGAGTGGTGCCCATACACACAGGTGCACCAGAGTTGAGAAATAGTGTGCTTTTATTCCTAACTCCATGATGTGGGGTCTGGGGTTCATTCTCTATCCCAAACAATCTATCCCAGCCTGCATCTGATAACCCCCATTTTGCCCGCCTCTATTCCTTTTTGTAGCTATTTATGGCATTTTGGCTTTTCAAGACCAGGACTTATAATTCGGGAAAACTTGTTTGTTGAGCAATTATCTCTTAGTAGCTTATCTCTGTGTGAGTCATTTTAGAGCCTATGTCTGTGCCTATCTGACCCAGCTAGTTCTGTGAGTAGTGGCTTATTACAGTGGTTAATGAAATATGGGCCAATTAAAAATATTTTTATCTCTTACAGTGTGGAATTAAAATAGTAACAGAATACTCTGGCAGATGTAGGAATCAGGTAGCCACAGATGAACACTATAAATTTGGAAACAGAACTAAAAGAATATAAAAACTGTCTTTTTCTTAACCTAGGAAAGTTGAAACCATGGGGGCAATCTAAAGAAAATAATTCTCTGAATGAACATATGAGCAGAGTGAGTTTCCATAAGAAAACTTACAAACAACCTCCTCTCCAGACCAGGTAAGGACACACTCATCCATTGTCGTAATTTTTCTATTTTAAAAAGGCAGTATACACAATCTGCTGAAGGACAAATCGCCGTGACAGTGAGGTGTCAGGAGGTCAGAAGTGGAATGTCTTGGTCCACTTTGTGTTGCTGTAACAAAATAGAGATTTATAAAGACACGGGTTGATCTTAGCTCCCGGTTCTAGAGTCCAGGATTGGTGCTGTGTCATCATGTGGCAGATGGCATCCTGCAGAGTGAGCACTTTCAAGGGGGGGTAGCATGTGAGGAAGAGGCCACACACATGGGTGGACACTGATCCCTCCTAGAGTGATGCCACATGAGGTAATGACCTCTTCTTAAAGGTTTTCCCTCGGTGCCACTGCTTGAGGACCAGGTATCCACACATAAATCTTTAGGGACAACTGATGTCCAACAACAGCACGGAATCCCTTAGAGAGCTTTCTACCCGTGCATGGCCCAGGCTAGCACTGCACTTGAGTGAGTGGGTCTGAAGAGAGGCCCAGTATCGCTGTTTCTGAGGGTGACGGGGATGAGGCCGATGCAGAGCGCTGGTCTTGCATGTGACTGTCCCTCCAGGCACCAGTGTCCAACCCTGGCACACAAGCACATGGCTCCGGGCCTGCAGTCAGCCTTCACCGAGGCCTTTACCCAATGGTATTTGTCTTTAAGATAGGTAACGTGGTCCTGGGCTTTTTCTTTTTGCCTAATCTGACCCAGAAAAAGTGACATTAGTGTGGTTGTAGTTCTAGCACTTTCCCCAGACTGTAATTGTGCACTTGACCTCTGACTTTGACATCGAAGAGTAGAGATTTCTCACTTAAAATAGTTTTAGAGCATAGGATTTTAATTCAGTCACCAAGGTGCCTTCTGATTCTGGTCCCATGGATGATTCCTGCATGTAGGGTTTAGATCAGAGAGCAGCAGATGCTAGAACCCTGCGGGCAGAGCACAGGAGTCTGTTTCCGCACAAGTGTCCAGGTGCTGTCTACGTGTGGACAGCAGTCTGACAGCCACTGCTCAGTGTCTGTCGTGGGTGGAGCTTCACTACAACTAACTGTGGCCTGTCCTTCTTAGGGAAGAGCAACGGAAGAAACACGAGCAAGAACGGAAGGAGAAGAAAGCCAAGGTTCTGGGAGCTCGCAGGGGCCTCATTATGGTTAAAGATAAATGATTTTTAACCCCTGTAAATACTACTTCATTCTGAATTCCCTTTCCTTCTATAAATATTTCTATACTGTCCTCCCTGTTTTTCTACAGACTTTTGTTCATTATCTATGTAGTGTCTGTGAGTTCGTGTCCCACAGCTCTGAAAGGAGTAAATGTCTTAAAGCTCATAAATTCTGTAGAGTGGCTTTAAAGTAAGTCTTTGTACAGCTCAATTTTCTGATGAGACCCATCCCAGATTCTTAACCTAGACCTGTAATGTCAATGTCCTCCTGCTTGCTGGTGCTAATATTAAGAGACTGGCAGTCCTTCCAGCTGAGAGCATCTACCCAAGCGCAGTGAGTTGGACAAGCTTCAACAGAACCTGAACAACGGAAGTGAATGGGAAAAGCTGGGGTAGGAAGGCTACCCCTTCCTCCTCTACAGAAGCTACTAATCTTAAATGAGCTAGTCCCATGGTTTTGGTGATAGCATCAAGATTTTTCCTGCGTGAAAAACGTTTTGTTTAGGAGTATAAGCGCCTTTGTGTTTCTTTATGTAATTGCCATTTGTTACTTGCGGTATTCTTAGAAATAAAATTCTACAGCTGACTCTCACCATGCTTAAGGAAAAGCTACATGGCTGTCAAAATTGGAGAGCGATGGGGATGTAGCTCAGTGGTAGTGACTGCCTAGCTTATCCCAGTCTCTAGTAAAAAACGCGCGTGCGCGCGCGCGCGCACACACACACACACACAGATTACTGCTTTCAAGATTTTTTGGGGGTGGGGGGGCTTGGTTGTTTTTTGAGACAAGGTCTTACTATGTAGTTCAGGCTGGCCTTGAACTTGCAGTGATCCTCCTGCCTCAGCCTCCTGAGTGCTGGGGTTACAGACATGCGCCCACACCCGGCTTTTACTCTGTTCTGTCAAATCTTACTAATTTTATGGAAAAGATGAACATTGCCTTGTTTCTCGCACTGCCTATGTGGAGCCTTGAGTTGTGTATGGCTCAAAATTTTAACATTACTTTTATGACTACATTTGGATAACCACCTAAGACTAAGAAGGTCTGAAATGTATTTATCCTTCACACATCCTCCTTTCCTACTTCTACCCCAAGAAAAAAATGACCATATTCTTCCTTTGTATTTTCGTAACACCTCTCAGGTTTTGGTTTTGATTTTTTTTTTTTGAGACAGGGTCTCATGATGCAGTTCAGGCTCACCCTGAACTCACTATGTAGCCCAGGCTTGAGTTGAAACTAGTAGTGATCCTCCTGCCTCAGCCTCCCAGGTGTTTGGGTTACAGGTATGTTGCCACCATGTCCAGCTTAGGTTTTATTACACTTACTGTTTTGCATCTATTTTCAGAATATGGCACATGCCTGATTACTGGAAAAAAAAAAAAATCAGATTTTCCTACCAAGGCACAAAGATCCAATCAAATCCCCTGGAAGCTGGGTGTGGTGGTACCTGTAGCCCCAGTACTCTGAGAGGGCTAAGGCAGGAGGATCATAAGTTTGAGCCCAGCCTGAAGGAGTGTTCATGCATTTTGGGGGACAAGCTCTCCACTGAGTATTCCATTTCTTAGTAACTTCTACATTGTCCTTATCAGTAAGGAAATACAAGAAACTGAAATGGAAGAAATGGTCGAAAGGCATCAACCGGCATCTGAGACTCTGCCTTCTCAAATATAAAATCTCTGCAATAGGAGCCATTCTGACAAAAACACGGTAATTACATCAATGCTAGCAACCTAAGAGATAGCATCTGGTTTCATGATGTGTCCCCTGATCTGGTCTCTTACTGACAGCATTTAGCCTTGGCCTTAGTCACTTTTCTCATTGCTGAGACAAAATAGACACCAAGTTAAAGGAGGAAAGGTTTATTTGGATTACAGTTCATAGAGGTTTCGGTCCATAGCTGGCTCCAAGGCAGGGCAGCAGGGCAGCACGGCGGAGGCACATCACAGAGAGCAAACAGTCTATCACGAGGCAGGGAATGCAGAAGGCAAGTGACAGCAACAGTAGCAGCTACCGCTTCTTTAGGGGTTTTTTTGGTACCAGAAATCAAACTCAGTAGCACGAGCTTGCCAGCCAGGCACTTATGCCACTGAGCTATATCCCCGCACCTAGCCTCCCTTCCAGGCTATCCGCCCCTTGGGTGATGGCACCCACACCCAGGGTGGGCCTTCCCATTATCCACACCCAGAACTATGCCAAAGCAATCAGTGCACTAATTTAGTATCATATACCCTTAATCCTAGTATCATGTGCCCTAGATCCAGCCACCTCCAGAAAACCCCAGCTATGACTGCATGAGACTTTAGGGGGACTTCTAGACATGAGCGATAATATCCTGTTTTAAGGAATACATACCAGCAATTCACTGGATGCCATTAGGTTTTGTTTTGTTTTTGTTTTTGGTCTTTTTGAGACAGGGTCTATGTAGTTCAGGCTGGCCTTGAACTTGCAGCAATCCTCCTGCCTCAGCCTCCCAAGTGCTGGGATTATAGGCATGTGCCACCACTACGGGCGCCACTAGTTTTTATTTTGGGCTGAACTGCATTTTGGTTGTGGGCCCTGGGTTTCAGCCCCAACACCACAAAACACTTACTTTTTTTTCTTGTATCACTGTGGTTGCTACTGTTATCACTAGTTTAACAAAACAAAACTGCCATACACTCTTTCTTATCTAAAGAGTCTTGGGTTAAGCACCGGAGAATTTTCATAAGCAAATTCTTCTGTGTGGGCTGGGTCAGTAAACACACCAATAAAATCTATTTCCAGGAAGAATGGACCATCTACTTTATCAGCCAGGGTGAATCCTATAGAAGAAATCTAAATTGAAATAGAAAAATTGATTAAAGTCTTACAACTGATGTACCACTGTCCCTGAGTCTTTATGCTCTAAGCCTCAGCAAGGACACAGCAGTTGGCATGTGTGGGAGCAAATTAGAAGACATTCTTCTAATGACAGACTGCTCTCCCCCCGTTAGGTGGGCTACTTGAGAGTAGGAAGGACAACAGGAATGCCTAACGGAGACGCCTTAAGCTCTTCTCCTTTTGCTTGTTTGAGACAGGGTCTCACTATGTACTTCAGGCTGCCCTTGAGCTCACTAATGTAGCCCACGCTGGCCTCCAACTTCCATGTGATCCTCCTGCCTCAGCCTCTTGACTGCTCGGATTACGAGTGTGTACCACCACACCCAGCACTGGAGCTCCTCTGAACTCTTGTTTGAAAGCAAAAATAAATTGCAGGCACACTGAAAAGATGACAATAATGTTCCAGCAGGATGGAGTTAGCTCACAGAGCAAGTCTGACAGGGCACAAACGGAATTTCATCTGTCAGCTTCCCAAAATGAGCTGGGCTTGTCCTCATGGGGGTCGTCGTTATACTACAATATCATCCTGGCGGAGAAGTACAGGAAAAAACCTTACCTTGTCAAGCATAAGCTTGTACTGGGCATCCCGGATTCTTCCTTTGTTTGAGAAGAAAAATTTAGAAAATGGAATCTGAAAGAAAAGATTTACTTTATAGCTGAGAAATAAGCAATTGAGGCATCTGTATGGAATTGCAATGATGAAAGAATAGTTTAAATTTCATTATTAAATCATTTAAAATAACACAATATGAGAAGCTGTTTGGATCAAAGACACAAGGGCATGAACCCAGGACTTTGTGCATGCATGGCAAGTGCTCTGACAGTGACACCCCCAGCCCCAAGACAGACACTTCTAAAACCTGTGGGCATTGTGGCACACACCAGTAATGCCAGCACTCAAGAGGCTGAGGCAGTAATTGCAAATTCATAAGCCTGGACTGCATCACAAGACTTTTGTCTCAAAAAAGAGAGAAAAAAAAAAAAAAAAAAAAAAAAAAAACAGGGTGCAGCAGTACACATCTGTAATCACTGGGGAGGCTGAAGCAAGAGGGCTGCAAGTTTGAAGTTTGCCAGGGCAATTTAGTCTCTAAATAAATAGCTGGGGATGTAGCACAATGCTTCCTCATTCAATACTCTATAGTGCAAAACAAAACAAAAAACAAAAACCTAGAAAACACATTGAAAACTTTTCTAAGCCAGCAGTCCCAAAGGAAAAGTGATAGAGTACAAATTATAGCTGACAACAAAGACAGAAAATAAACTAAGAAAAAAGTACTTGTAACATGGACAAGAGAATAGTATCCTAAACAGCTTTTACAAATAATTAAGAAAGGGGCCGTGTATGGTGGTGCATGGCTGTAATCTCAGCACTTGGGAGGCTGAGGCAGGAGGATTGCTGTATGTGTGAGGTCAAGCTGGGCTCCACAGTGAGTTCAAGATCAGCCTGAACTGCATAGCAAGACCCTGTCTCAAAAAAACCCCCAAAAGACGCTTAAGAAAAATATTAAACAATCAAACGGAAAAATGGGGATGGAGAGAAACAAGCACTCTTTTTAGAGGGAGGGTGGCTCAGCACCCCTATTGTAGAGGGAGCTGGCAAGTGGGCCAGGCGGCATTCTGAGATGGCCTTGACAATTCCCCCCCACTGGTACACACTCCTCCCAAGTATCCAATCAAATACTGATCTCAGCTGCAGTACAGGGATTACGCCGATAGAGTTAAGGCTCCAAGGCAGTCAGCCTCACTCAGGAAATTGCCCTGTGCACACATGACAAGCACGTGAACCCATGAAGAGGACCAGTGAAAGAGGAGCGTGAGAGCTGGGGGAAGGTGACGCTCCAGAGTCTCACCTGGTGAACAGCAAGGCCAGGAAGACTTCAGCTCTACAATCACAAGGAAGGGAATTTGCCTAAGAACCAAAATAAGCTAAGACAGTCTTCCCCAGAAATGTCAGGGAGGAGCACAACCCAGCAGACAAGAACTGAGGCCAGGCATGGTGGCCTGAAAGCCCAGCACGCAGGAGAGTGAGGCAGGAGGATCGATGCAAGTTTGAGGCTGGCCTGTTTTACGTAGTGTGTTTAAGACCAGCCTCAACTGGCCTCATTCAGGAATGAGTAAAATCTAGCACCAGGCACCACTTCTGCCTGCTGAAGGGTTTTGTGTTTTTTTGGTTTTTTTTTTCGTTTTTCTCCAGTACCGGGAACCGAACTCACGACCTTGCACTTGCCATGCAGGCGCTTTGCCGCTGAGCTAAATCCCCAGCCCCAGTGCTGAAGGGTTTTAAGGCACCAGTTTGTTCATGTCATAAACCATGGGACCCTGTCTCAAAAACAAAACAAAATAAAACACTAAGAAAAAAAACTGGCCAGCCAAGCCTGCTAGCACACATCTGTAATCCAGCACTCTGGGAGGCTGAGACAGGAGGCCTGTGAATTCAAGCCCACCCTGGGCAACTTAGCAACTTAGCAAGACCCTGTCTCAAAATGAAAAATAAAAAGGGCTGGAGTGCAAAGGCCCTCAGTTCAATCCCCAGTACAAAAAAAACCAAACTGACTAGGAGCCAGGCATAGCAGTACACACCTGGGATCAAGCGGGAGGCCAGCCTGGACTATACGGCAAGACCCTGTCTCAAATGAGAAAAAGTAATAACCAACTATGGAACACAACCACAACATGTCAGAACTTAGAACCTACCAAACTATAAGCAAACAAATGTGTGTTGTCGTAAGATGTTAAATTTGTGATAATTTGTTATACATGACAGAAAAATAACACAATGCTGTACAGCAAAATTTGAAATGCTGTAACTTTGACCTACCAACTACAATCCTAGTACTCAGGTTGAGGCAGGAGGATTGCTGAGTTTGAGGCCTGCCTGGACTACATAGTGAGATCAAGGCCAGCCTGGACTACATAGTGAGACCTTACCTCAAAAAAAACAAACAAACAAACGTATGACAAATAAGCTGACAAATAAAGATACAGGGTTTTTTTAATAGTAAAAAAATAAAAAGGAAAAAATCAGCTAAATTATGGTGCATCCATACAACTGAACATCTGGCTGTGGTTAAAATGAAATAGATCTATACAAGACACAACGGGAAAACCTCTGTGATGTATTCTTAATAAGAAACCGAGATATAGATAAAGCTGAGTAGGTGGCTCAGTACAGCTCATGCTTAACATGTGCAAGGCCCTGCTTTCCATCCTAGCACCACAAAAAATAAATAAAAAATAGAAATTCACTCTAAATAAAAATTGAAGTCTAAATGTACTGATATTACCAAACATACTTTAAAATGAGTTAAAAAGAACACAGGCCCGGTAGCACAGGCCTGTAATCCCAGCACTCCAGAGGCTGAGGCAGGAGGATCACAGGAGGAACTCAGTGACTTGCTGGTGCAATCCTGGTCCTCGCTCCCTGCAGGCCAGTGAAGAGGAAGGCAGCTGGAATAACCCAAATACACGGCCAGAGTGAGGTGGAAAAGCTGGAAATGGCCACAGGCCCATATGGGGGCGTTCTGGAAGCAGAGGTGAGGGGGACTTGCGAACAGACTGGATGTGAGACGAAGGAGAGGGAGGCATCCAAGCTGATCCTGGGTTTATGACATGTACAAACTGGTGCCTTAAAACCCTTCAGCAAGCCGGGCGTGGTGGCACACGCCTGTAATCCCAGTACTCGGGAGGCTGAGGCAGCAGGATCGTTGTTGTGAGTTCGAGGCCAGCCTGGGCTACAAAGTGAGCTCAAGGCCAGCCTGAACTGCGTAGCGAGACCCTGTCTCAAAAAAAGACAAAAAAAAAAAAAAAAAAAAAAAAAAAACCTTCAGCAGGCAGAAGTGGTGCCTGGTGCTAGATTTTACTCATTCCTGAACGAGGCCAGGTTAGTACTCCTCAACTCCTTCTGTGTGTGCTGGGATCAACCAGCAGAGCCTCCACCACGGAGCTCCTGCCCTAGAGTAATAAATTCATAAACATAAGAAGGGCGTTTGCTTTTCAGCAGTACTAGAGATTGAACCCAGGGCCTTGTACATATTGGCAAGTTCAATTCCCGGTACCAAAACAAAAAAGAGAAGTTGAGAAATTTTCATGATGTAAAGTATTTCTTCTTTTTTTTAGTATGTGTGCTGACGAATCAAGCATGAGTATTGCTCCTTTTTAAGGGAACCTTTCTACTAAGCTATCATTCTAACTTAGAGTTGACAGCCGGGTGTGGTGGTGCATACTTGTAATCCCAAGCCCTCGGGAGGCTGAGGCAGGAAGATAGCTGCAAGTTTAAGATCAGCCTGGGCTACAAAGTGAGCTCAAGGCCAGCCTGAATTGCATAGTGAGGTCCTCTCTCAAAAAAACAAAACAACAAAAAAAAAAACAAGCCCACTTAGTAGAGTTGCCTGACCGTAACATAAACTTTAGAAACACCTAACTGGGTTTGGTGGCACATGTCTGTAATGCCAACTATTCAGAGCCTGAGGCAGGAGTATCACAAGCTTAAGGCCAGCCTGGGAAATTTAGTAAGACTCTGCCTCAAATTAAAAAAAAATAAAAAGGGCTGAGGGAATAGCTCATGGGTAGAGCAGCTTGCCTAGCATGTGTGGAGTTCTGGGTTCAAACCCCACTGCTGCCGAGAGAGAGAGAGAGAGAGAGAGAGACAGAGAGAGAGAGAGACAGAGACAGAGACAGAGACAGAGACAGAGACAGAAGGAGAGAAGGAGAGAAAGGAGAGGAGGAGAGGAGAGGAAGAGAGGGGAGACGGAGGGGGAGGGGGGAGAGGGAGAAAGAGACATCTACTAGGGTACAGAGCAGAGTGGCAGTGACTTAGCATGGATCTGGCTGTGTCCTTGTCAGAAACATTTACTGGTTAGTAAGCTAATGTGTACTAATTAAGGGAAACGCCATTCGTGTAAGTCTTCCTTCTACCCACCCCTAATAGCCCTCTGAGCAAGGGTTAGTGCCAAAAAGAAAGCTGTAACATGACACAGTCTCAAGGGCAGGGCTCACACAAACAGAGGCCTGCACTTACCTTGACCTCCTGCCAGTAGGGCCCGCCGCGGGTGTACATGAAGTAGCTGTACATCTGGTCCTTGCTCTGGATGAAGTCCTTCTGCTCCCGGATGTTCACCATCCAAGGCCGCCCATCGCCACGGACGCGGAGGTACAGACTGTTGTACTGGGACCAGTCGTAACACATCCTCCTCTCAAAGGCACCCTGAGTACAAGGCCAAGGCAGTTTAACGTCGTCCTTAAGTTTCTTTTACTTTTTTCCTTTTTAAGACACGGTCTTGCTATGCAGTTCAGGCTGGCCTCAAACTCACTATGTAGTCCAGCCTGCCTTTGAATTCCAAGGCAGACTAACAAACTATCATGTATCAGGGAATTAAAGATACACAATAACTACATACAATGTGCTACTACAGATGGGCTTCTTGAACAGAAAAAGAGTATTACTGAAAAAAAAATATTACTGTAAAAACTGAAGAAATCCAAATACAGTCTGGAGTTTAGTTAGCAGCAACGTGCCACAGTTAGTTTCCTCGTCATGGCAAGCGTAGGGTAATAATCTGTACTACGATTATAGCTGGGAAAGAGGTACACGAGAACTCTCTGCGCTACCTTTGTAATTGCAATTGTTCTATAAATCAACAATTCCTCTAAAATAAAAAGCCCACTCAAAAAAGAAAAAAAGCCACCAAAGTGGATCTGGTGGCAGAAGAAACACCAGTCTCCAAATATCACCCAGAGCTCTAACAGCTGGGGAGCCCTCCCATAGCAGTGCTCCTCCCTGCACAAAACAGTGCCAGGAACAAGGACTCCTCCTCAGGAACCACATTCTGTGCCCCGAAAGATGCCATATACAGCACGCCAGGTGCGCTCCTTTACAGAAACAATGGCGCTGTGAGCATCCGGGGATAGAAGTCCGCCCAGGGCACCAACGACACCGCTCCCCAACCCCCCCACCTCACCTACCCGGACCACCCGGGATATCATCGCACAGAACCCACTCTGGCTGCTCTCCCCGTCCTTGGGGGGCTCGGAGCTCAGCGTCCCATATAGCAATGCACTTTGGTTGTTCTTGCCCATTTTCAAGAACACTTCGCTTCTGCCTCCAATCGTCTTATCGGAGGTCACGACCCACTTGTCCAAGTCCTCTTTGCCTCGGAACTGCCAGACGACCCTGGTTTGCTCCAGCAGGACCTTGTGCAGGGGGCGGCCTTCTGGGCCCACCCAGTGATTCAGGACCTCATCCTTCAAGCGTCTCAAGTGGTCCTTTACTTCGTCTCTAATGGCTTTATCAAAACTCACTTCAGGCTGTTCTTCAGAAGACGGTACATCCAAAGTGACTTCCTTCGGCTCATGTCCTTGCAAACCCTCTTCGGGCCTGCTCTGCTGGGAGGCTCTGCCAGGACTGGCACCCGGCTTTTGAAGGCTCCTGGAACAATAGGCTGCGACAAGACCTGGAGGCAGACGCAGGGCCGCGCATGGCTTCAGGCACTTTCTAGGAGCGTTGGTGCTGCTCAGGAATCTGCAGACCAAAGCCATGCTATGAAAAGGGCAAAGTGTACACTTCACCCCAGTTCAGAGGGGAGGAGCCTTTAGCAAATAGCCTGATCCCACCTGTGACAGAAAAGACAATGAAAGTCGGCAGTACGGCACCCAATGCATCACAATTTCAAATTCAACAGGGGTCAGTATTAGGATACTTCAAACACATTTTCTAATTCTAAAAACATTCATTCAGTGCCTGTTATGTGCAGAGCATTGTAGTACACATTGCAAAAAATACCAAGATAACTAAAATTAGCCCCCATAAAACAACAAAAAAGGTCTCAGCTTCCTCAAAATGCTGATCAACCCAAAAATAATTCAAGTATGTGCCAAATGCTACTCGAAGATGTTGTATCAACTTTTTTGTTGTTTTTTGGTTTTTTTTTTGAGACAGAGTCTCACTATATAGTTCAGGCCAGGCTTGAACTCACAGTGATCCTCCTACCTCAGCCTCCCAAGTGTTGGGATTACAGGTATGCAATACCATGCCCGGCAGATGGATCAACTTTAAATTTTTACACTGGATTTTTAAAGAAATAGTAGGTTCTAAAAAAGTAAAATACCCAAGTAATTCAATGTAGGACCTAGGCCAATTGACTTTCAGTGTGAGCAATTCTTAATAAAAAGAGGTGAGTTGGGCATGTTGGCACATGCCTCTAATTCCAGCATTCTGGGCTGGGCATGGTGGCGCACTCCTATAATTCTAGCACTAGGGAGGCTGAGGCAGGAGGATCGTTGTGAGTTCAAGACCAACCTGGGCTACAAAGAGAGCTGAAGGCCAGCCTGAACTGCATAGTGAGACCCTCTCTCCAAAATGACCAAAAAAAAACCCAAAAAACAAAAAACAAAAAAAAAACCACACACACATACACACACACACACACACACACACACACAAAACAACAGCATTCTGGGAGGCGGAGGCAAGAAGACTGCAAACTTGATCCCTATCTGGGCAACTTAACAACTCAGTGAGACCCTGTCTCAAAACAAAAAATTGTTTTTTTCTTTTGCTTTTTCAGAAAGGTCTTGGTATATAGCCCAGGCTGGCCTCAAACTCTCCATGATCCTTCTGCCTCAGTCTCCCAAGATGTGGCATTATAGGCGTGTGCCAAACCTGTCTAAAAATTGTTTTTAAAAGGGGACTGGGATGTAGATCAGTGTGAAAGCCCTGGTTTTAGTACCCATTACTCAAAAAAACAAAACAAAACAAAAAAAAAAACAAACACAAAACACCGAAAAACAGCACTCGGGAGGCTGAGGCAGGAGGATTGCTGCAAGTTCAAGACCAGCCTGGGCCACAAAGTGAGCTCAAGGCCAGCCTGAACTACATAGAGAGACCCTGTCTCAAAAAGACAAAAAAAAGTACAGGAGTCCTATAGTGAGCACTGTATGTGGAATCAGAGACCTGAATGCAAACACCTGGTTCTGGTTCTGCCTATTTATAGGCTGTGAATATATGAGTACTGCGGTTTCATAGGACTAAACCTAATAAAACTGTTTAGCCTCCGGTAAACAAACCAGTTGCTTTTCTATCCCCAGTTCTGAGGTTAAACCCTTTTTACTAAGCTGCATCCCCAGTCATTAAACTGCCAGGCTCAGCTCAAACTTGGAATCCTCCTGCCTCGGCCTCCCAGTATACTAGGATCAGAGGCATGAGCACCCATGCCTGGCTCCAGTCCACCTTTGAGGTTTCTCTTTCCTCAGGAGTGAGGTCCCTATCTACCCCGGGAAGTTCTTCTGTACATCCTATGGAATGACATCTGTAAGAGGTTTATTGGATTCAGCAAGTCTGATGAGATCCCCAAGTTACTTCATACTTAAAATCTCCTAGTCCAAGGCCCACACAGGTAATCAGGTTCTTGTATCAGTCACTATTTAAGCTCCTCAAAGATAGAACTTGCCGGGCATGATGGTGCACACCTGTAATCCCTTACTAGGGAGGCTGAGTCAGGTAGATCACCACCAGCTGGAGGCCAGCCTGAACTACACAGCAAGGCTCTGTCTCCCAACATAAACAATAAAAGACAAAAATCCAACAATCCAGCTCACCTGTTAGGTGCTAAGAATGCACATCAAAATGGCACCAGGCCCCACAGGACTTGTTATCCTTGGAAAACACCCCCTCCTCACTGCATGGATGGGGTGGGAAACCCGCTCCTCTCCCATATCCAGGCACACCACTGCTGCCTGTAGCCTTGCACCCGCCTGGCATGTGGAAGGGCCTCAGGTACAGAACTGATCTCGTCTCTTAAAACATTAGAGCCTCTTAAATGGTTGAAAGTGTAACTCCATGGTAGAAGATGTGCCCTGGGTTCAATGTCCAGCACCAAAAAAGAAACTAAAATGCTAAAGGCCAGCAGTTCCCACAGGTCTCGGGCTCCTCCAGATGCATTCTGCTTGTGTCTCCAACCCAGTCAGAACGTGCCTGTCTGACGAGCGCCACCAACACACTGTCCTTGGGCTGCAGGCCGTGGCCGATGGCTGCTCCTAGGCCAGGAATGGCTCCCACCAACCCTGCCTGGCTCGGTCTGGACATCGCCTCCTCCAAAAGCCCTCCCTGAGTTCCCACTTCCTCCAAGACCAGTGCTGTTTGGCTGCTTCCCTGGGGCCGCATTTTGCCTGCTGTGGTTTACTGACCATTTCCTCTGTCAATCTCCCCTTAGACCGGAAGCATCGTGAGGGCAGAGTCCCTCCCCACTGTGCCGCCCTGGGTCCCAGTGCGTGACAGCGTGCAGGAGGAGGCTTCTCATATTTGAACAAACATCTCCACATTTCTGCACCTCTGCCGCAAGCAGGGCTTCTCTCACTCTAAAGGGCCGTGAACCACTTGAAAAGTGTGCAAAATACAATTCTGATTCAGCACATGTGGCTGAAGGCCTGAGAGTCCACGTTTCTAACAACGCTCCTTGTTGGCCCACCGAGAACATTAAATAGTAAAGTCCTGACTCTGGTCATCTCCCTGATGCTAATCTTCTCCATCCTCTGTCTGGAACCAGAGGGATTTTTCTAGATATGATGGCATTTCCTATACTACTTCAGCCACTCCTAGAATGTGAGCTCCTAAACACACACACGGCCTCCTCACAATGCCTCTCCTGGTCTGACAGCTCACAGTGCTACTAACCACCTCAGCTAGAGCAAGACCATCTGAATCAAGTCACTGTTCAGACCGAGAACAGGTTCAGGGCTGGGGGTGTACCTCAGAAGCAGAACAATCAAGTTTGAGTTTGAGCCCCTGCACTAAAACATAAAAAATATAAAAACAGAAGTCAGGCGTGGTGGCACACACCTGTAATCCCAGCACTCAGGAGGCTGAGGCAGGAGGATTGCTGCAAGTGTGAGACCAGCCTGGGCTACCAAGTAAGCTCAAGGCCAGCCTGAACCGCACAGCGAGACCCTGTCTCAAAAAGACAAATAAAATAAAATAAAAATAAAAATAAAAATAAAAATACCATGGCATTTGCTTTGCTTCTGCTCTTCTCCCTGTCATCACTTCTACCTCTACCTCCTGACAGTGAGCCCCATAAAATCACTGAGCCGAAATGTACACCCAGCCCCCTCTCCCTGCCCCTCTTGCTGAGACACCCCAAGCTCCCCATGCTGTGCATTCTCCATCATGAGAGGTAACAGACTGTTGTAGTTTGGGGTTTTGCAAGGGGAACAATCAAGGACACATAATTTGTAGGATTATTTTATAATAGTCACCCAAACCAAATAAGAAGAGTGCAGAAAACCTCTCCACACACTAAAGACCAAAAGAATCCAGCTGAGGGCCTGGATCCCACAGCAATGCCCTGCATGAGTCCAGCTGAAGAGCTAGACCCCATAACAATGCTTCCCACGAGTCCAGCTGGAGGCCAAGAGCCCATGTCTCATGCAGGCCTGTTTCAAGGATCTGCGCTGGGAAGGTCCAAAGGTCAATGGTGGAAGCTAGAAAATCTGTGCCAGCGGGGTGAAGGACCGTGCCAGCAGGCTGAGGGATCTGCACTGGAGCCAGGAAGCAACACTCAAGATAAGGACCAGAGCCCCCTGAAAAGTACCACAGCCATCCTCAGTGACAGCAAGGTCCCAAGCTGCTCAGATGATGATAACAGCGCAGTTCAGCAGAAAAGCCAAGGTGACAAGCTCCTCCCAAGAGCCAGCAGCTCCCAACAGCTTCTAAACTTTTTCCTCTCCAGTTCTGCCCTTTACACTTCGGGCAACAATCCTCAGGTGGGCCTCCCACACCCAGCACCATGCTCCTTCAGTTCAGATGGGTGTTACAAGTTGACCACCAGCTGTCAATCCACCACACAGACCCGATCTGTTCAATTCCACACCTGTTCCCCGAAGGCCGTGACAGGGCACTGACGCCGCTCTCTTTGCATGCTCATGAGAACCTGTACAGACCTCTCAAGTACAGTGGAACCAAGCCTGGTGTGGGGGCCCAGAGCTATAATCTCAGTATGTGGGAGGCTGATGCAGGACAATGGTGAGCTGGAAGCCAGCCTGGGCTACATAGGGAATCTCTTGTCTCAACAAGCCTAAAACCCCCACAACTGCATGTGCACTAATGTTACAAGTATAAAAGTACACAAACATGGAGGGAAAGAAAGCTTAAAGTGTAGGGTGCGATTATGAGTAACATGGCTTACCATTTTCTAAACCCTCAATAGCGTTGTTACTCCTTTAATAACACTACAGATGTAATTATGTTTTCTTTTGAATTGGGCTGAGGGCCTGAGAGTCCACATTTCTAACAACACTCCTTGTTGGCTCACAGAGAACACTATGTTGCCCAGACTGATCTTGACTTCTTGGGCTCAAGAGATCTTCCTGCCTCAGTCTCCTGAGTAGCTGGGACTACAAGCTGGAATGCCATCAAACCTGGTAGAGTTTCATTTTTTTTTTTTTTTTAACCAAGATACATAAAGTCAAACCTAGTTACCCAACAATGATGGGCAGAGGTTAGCAGTAAATTTTAGTAACAGGATCCACGCAGTTAGTAGTATTCATAAAGACTGTAAATTCTGCCAGGTGTGGGGACACACACCTGAAACCTCAGCATTCTGGGAGGCTGAGCCAGAAGGTTTGTAAAATCGAGTCCAGTATTTACAGCCAATTTAAGACTCAGCAAAACCTTCTCAAAGAAAAACAAACAAACAAAACAGGTGATGAGCTCAGTGTAAAGGCTCTGCGTTCAATTAAAAAAAAAAAGAATTAAAAAAAATTGTAAATCCAGGGAGACTGAGGCAAGAGGATCTCTGTGCATTGGAGGCCAGCCTCGGCTACATAATGAGTTCAACGCCAGCCTGAACTACTTTAGGAGACCCTGTCTCAATGATAAAACAAAGCATAAACAAAAGAAGAAAACCAATTGGGCGCGGTGATTTACTGGCTGTTATCCTAACTACGAGGGAGGCTGAGGCAGGAGGATCGCAAATTCTAACCCAGGCTGGGCAATTTAGCAAGACTTTGTCTCTAAAAATAAAAATAAAAAAAGCCTGGGATGTAGCTCAGTGGCAGAGTGCCCCATGTTCGTTCCCTCTTACTAAAATAAATAAGTACTGCTTATTTAACGCCACCGTGGACTGCACAGCAAGACACTATCTCAAAAAAATAAAAAAATAAAAATAATAGATAAAGATTTGGAAAAGGGGGTTCCATGATTACTCGAGGTCACACAGCTAGTGGCAAAACTAACCCTGCAGCTCTCCACTCGGGCCGGAGGAGAGGCACAGTTCGCGAGGGAGCAGCCCCATCAACGCTCACCTGCCAGTCCTGCGTCGCCTCCCAGGTCCCCGACGTCCCACAGTTGCAGCCTCTGCTCACCTTCGCCGAGGCTAAGCGAAGCTTCCGCCCGGGTCCGCCACTCTTTGCCGCCCGGCCCTCCACTATTCCGGTATAGGTCCATCTGGATTTTTTTCCCTTCCGGGCGCCAAATAGGAGATTCAGCATTAAAGTTCCTCCCCTGGGCAGAGTTCCGGGAAGGGTGGCGAGGATCCCAAAGCCCGAAGACTTGAGGGCACTGACGGCCTTCCATTCCGCAGAAGGCCCGACCTCTACTCCCCTTCATTTTTTCTGCCCTTTGTGAGAAACAGAAGAATTCCGAGAAGCTTTCCTCCTCTCGCCCACAGGCTGCAGACTCCACCACTGTCCCTGTCAAGTAGGACGTCATTAGCGCCCTTCATCCCAGGCGCCGGGGTCCCCAGGAGCAGTCGGTGGCCTCGGGAGGACGTCTCTCCGCGGTGGAGACCGCAGTCAGCGGGCAGCAGCCTGCCCCGCCGGCCTGCCCCGCCGGCCTGCCCCGCCTCCCGACAGGGGCGCTGGGCCCGGTGCGCGCCGTGTTATCCAGGGCTTCCGAGAGGGCACCCAACGCTGCTGCCGTTTCCCGGTTTCCTCCATCGCCAGTTTCCAGCCACCTCCTCTTCCTTCTTAAAATTCTGCTTCGACTTCTCTGGACTCCGCACTTAAGGCCTGGATCCTTCCAGTCCTCCCTCCTCGCTGACTTCCTCTTCCACCACCTTAAGTGTCTCCAGAGCCTAAGCTACACACACCTTTTCTCTAGTTTCCAATAGGCGCTTTCTAGACAATTCGATAACTTCTTTCCCTAAACCCCAGGATACATTTCGAATGCTTGCAGCAGTTCCAGAGGTGGGACCCAGCACTTCCAATTTGATGTGTGAAACTAAACATACCATATTTCCCCATATTAATTCCTCTTCTTAGCGTCTTGCTTTCTTATGCTCTGATACTGAGAGTTGAACCCAAGGCTTTCACTCTGAACTGCATCCCCAACCCTTTTTTATTTTGAGATGGGGTCTCACCAAGTGCTCTAGACTGGGTTCAAACTGGAGATCGTCCTCCTCAGCCTCCTAGGGTGCTGGTATTGCAAGTGTGCCCCAAGCATCTTCCCTATTTCTGTAAATGCCCACATCCTCCTAGGCTGGAGATCCTTGGTTGCTCTGAAGATCTGCTCTCACTGATCCTAAATCCTATTGAGTTCCCTTTGCTGGCTTTGATCTTTTGGTCTCTCCTCTGCAAACCTAGTGATGCCCTCATAGTTATTGTCCTTATACAACTTTCCTTCCAGCTACTGATTGTCCTACTTGGGACACATTAACAGTTTGCCTAATAAATCGTACACACATGTTTAAATACCACATTATTTCTCTGGTGTGAGAAACTGAAAGGGTAAATAAGGGCCAGAATTGATATTGGGAAATAGGAAGAAAATTTTCAAATGGGAAGGGGAACAAGGGAGGGGGAGGAGGAAAGGAAGGAAGGGAAAAGAGAAGAAAAGAGAATAAAAGGAAAAAAAATGGAAACAAAGCTTTTATAATTAAGGAAAGGAAGAGGGGTTGAAGGGAAGGGAGGTAATTGGGGAAAAAAGAATCAAGATATGGTATGTAGAGTTACAAACTTCCTGTGATGAATGTGATCATTACGTATATCTAATTACTTTTTTTTTGTTATCAGAAATTGAACTGATACACTTGCCAGGTAGGCCCTGTGCCACTATATATCCCTGACTGTTATGTATATCTAAAATGTACCAATAAAATTAATTTTTAAAAAGTTTATCGCCGGGCATGGTGGCACACACCTGTAATCCCAGCACTCAGGAGGCTGAGGCAGGAGGATCATTGCCAGTTTAAGGCCAGGCTGGGCTACAAAGTAAGCTCAAGGCCAGTCTGAACTACATAGTGAGACCCTGTCTCAAAAAGACAGGAAAAGGAAAAAAGGAAAGAAAAAAGACTAGTAAAAGTTTATCTATTTCTATTTTTAAAATGTAAAGCCCAGGCCGGGTGTGGTGGCACACACCTGTAATCCCAGCACTCAGGAAGCTGAGGCACGAGGACTGCTGCAAGTTGGAGGCCAGCCTGGGCTACAAAGTGAATTCAAGGCCATCCTGAACTGCATAGCAAAACCCTGTCTCAAAAAGACAAGGAAAAAAGAAGTAAAGCCCAAAGATAAATACTATATTCCTTTTGGCCTCCAAATGTGCCACTGAATAAATTCTAAGCCTTCCATAATCTCCTACTCCTTCTATGCTATCCATATTTATCTCATCCCAACTGGTATCTGCTAAACCATAATTGATACTCCTCATAAAGAGTTAGATTTTCTCTGCTCAGCACCCACTCCTTCCCCATTCCAACCCTTGGGTACCTGACCTTCCACCCTTGAGCTAATTAGCCCGGGGGTAGGCAGCTGATCTGTACTGGGCCACACAGGCCATTCTGAAGGATTTTCTGAATTAGAGATGAAAAGGCCCTTTTAATCCCGGTGGCTCCTGCTAAATCGCCTATTAATATTGGGGAGCCAACTGGTATCAAAGGATAAAATAAATTCCAGTTAACATGGATGTTGCCAGTTCTAGTCGTTCCCAAAGTTCAGCTATGTTTATGCTCCCTCCCATGGGTTGTCCTTGAATTCTAAGCACCAGTAAATTTCCCTTAGTTAAATGAATGAATTGAGTTTCTGTTACTTGCAACCAGTGGTTGCTCATAGATACCCTGAGCCTACATGTTCAGAAGACACTAAATCCGCACTCTGGGGAGAGACAGGGATGGGAAAGATGAGCAATGACTGCCAAAGTACAGTTAGTAGGAGCAAGGGGTTCAAGAGTGCTATTGCATAATAGGGTGATTATAGGTAATAATAATGTACTGGAGGGGCTGGGGATTTAGCTCAGCGGCACAGCGCCTGCCTGGCAAGTGCAAGGTCGTGAGTTCGATTCCCAGTACCGGAGGATTGCTGCAACTTTTTTTTTTGGTTTTTTTTGTTGTTGTTGTTTGATTGCTGCAAGTTTGAGACCAGCCTGGGCTACAAGGTGAGCTCAAGGCCAGCCTGAACTGTATAGTGAAACCTTGTCTCAAAAAAACTAAATA